AAATATATATACATGAATATTCATAAGTTAGAAAATTCTTCGTCATACATATGATTTCGTCACAAATCGTAGTCGATCACTATAAAATCAATTAGAAATGTTCTCTCTCTCTCTCTCTTTCTCTCTCTCAATCTGTCTACTGTTGCGGTGGAGGTAAAAGAGTTGCTTTTATACGCAATTCTTCACTTTTTGTTATCTGTACATGCACCAAACTAAACAAATTGATTACCTAAAATAGATATTTGTAAGATATTAAAATAACCGTATTGATAATATATTTTGTGTTATTACACTATATAGAATACTACGGTAATACCTGTACAATAGGAGGTTCCTTCCAAATAACAGTTACAGTTGGTACATGTTCTGCGGAATACATTAATGTGGCAACGTCTTCTATGTCTTTCAATTTTACTTTTAGTTTTATGCCAGTGTCACAGAGAATAACTTCTATACTATCTCCCTTGACGTATAATACAGTAGCTTTCGTTGTAAAGCCACCTGCAAGGCCTACCATATATGCAAAGAATACCTCCGTGCTCTGTTCGTTAGCTAGTTTCGAACTATATTTCTTCAGATTGCAATTGGCTGCAATTCTGTCATAAATTGAAGTAAAAGTTATTTATTGAAGCAAATTTTATGTTATATTCTGCTTTCATATTCCATCATTAATGTACCTGGAACACAATTTGACCGTCCATTTTTCTGGTAAAGGTTTATTTTCAAGCATTGCACTAAGCAAACGATGAACTGTGCAATCGGCATATCTTCGAATAGGGGAGGTAAAGTGCGTATAAAGAGGCACATTTAATGCATAGTGTTTTAAATTATACAGTGAAGTGGTAGATGCACATATATATTCTGCACGCTGAAGATTGAAATTTTCAATATTACAGAATTATTAGATTACAAATTCTCCCTCGCTATTTATTTCTATCGTATAACATTTACAAATTATGACAAGAAAAATAAAAATTCTTACTGCCATAGTCTTTGAGCATAGGTTTGTGATACCTAATGTAATATATTTCATGGAATCGACTGTGACAGAGTTATTTTCTGGTTCATAGCGACTGATGCTGGCCTGTAAGTCGCCAGCTGTTTTAATATTCAAATGAATTCCATACTTTTGTAGTGTATCACGAAGTGAACCGAGACATTGCTTGGACGGATCTTTATGCATACGTAATAAAGCCGTTTCAGGAATTGCAGTGTATAATTGTACGGCGACTGTCATATTTGCCAACAGCATAAATTCTTCTATAAGACTGAAATACATATATTCATAATAAGTAATTGATGATTAAAAACGAAATTAGTTTCTTCATAATTTAAATGATGTAATATGTATAAATCAGCAAATGTTAATAACTGAAAAATCCACCTGTTGCTATCGATTCTTTCATGTACATAATAGTCTGTAGGTATCGGAATCCCGTGTTCTTGACTCAGCACGGGATCTATACATATCTGTAACGTTGGTTTATTTAATCTCAGAGCCCCATTAACAAATCGTTTGTTTTGCAACTGAGTGGATAATTTAAATAACTTGTTCACTAGATCAGACAATAATGATGCGGTATAGTCTCCTTTTATATCTAGAAAATCTTTGGGCCAAGACTTTTCTGGATCGTCGAGCATAGCTTGAGCCGAGTCATAGGACATTTGACAACACGATCTTATTACAGTCTTCGCGAAACGATGTTTCACAATTTCGGCCTCTGGTGTCATTTCCCAGATTACAGAAAAGGCTAATTTATCTTTACCAGGAAATAAGGAACAAACTTTACACAGTTCCTCTGGTAGCATATGAGAAGTCATGTGTGGCAAATAAACGGTAGTAGCTCGTTTCAAAACTTCGTTATCTAATGGAGAGGAAAATTTTAAGTAGTACGTGACATCTGATATGTGTACACCAATCTGAAATTAATGATTTGTTAGATGTCTTTCATATGTTATGGCTAAGTTTAATATATCGCAATTACTTCATAGTTTCCATTGTCTAAGATTTTGCAAGAAAGAGCGTCATCTATATCAACAGCTGTTACAGGATCTATTGAGAAAATGCACTCATGCCTCCAGTCTTCTCTATCTTTTATGTCAGCGTCCGTTAAAATATAATCACTACCTGGAAGTCCTTTCAATAGGCTTTCATGATATGGAGACAAATCTAAATCATTTTCAAGTATTACTGCTGTTAATTCTGTATTTATTTCGCCATGTTTACCCACTACTGAAAGAACCCGCCTGTAAATAGTACACAAATGTATATAACATAAGGACAATCAGCAATAACAGAAAACAGAAATGTCAATATAAAATCATAATATATCTTTAAGATTAATACTTTAAAATTGTAACGTTACTTTATGTATTAGATACGTGTATTGCACAATGCAATACACATGCCTACCCAAATGCATATAGCTGCTCCCACACATCGATACTAACAAAAAACATCACGTCCTTGAAAAGTTCTGGTTGATCGAGAAATAAAGGTGGCACTGATTCAGGAAGTATCTCAACCAATGGTATCCTATGATCTCTTGGATAAAATAACAGGAGTGACTCTTGTTTCTTTATATGTCCGATTGCTCGTCTCGAATGCACTTTCTCTAATATACAAACAATTTTACCAGTTTTTTGTACTTCTCCATCGGATAAAGTACGCCATAAATTTTTAGGGTTTACGCATGCCACAACTAGATCTCCTTCAAAAGCACGATTTCTATTTGGTATACCCATGATTAGCAGGTCGCGTTCTTCATTAGTCATACTTAAATAAGCGTATTTACAAGCAAAAGGATTTATGCGGAAAGTCCCTTTTACATATTGTGTACCATTGAATGATTGTTTTTTTAAAATATTCATCATTTTTGATACAGGTATATAATTTGAAAATATCTTCTTGAATGCTTTCCTCGTACCCTTTTTTTTCTTTGCATCATTTTTCATTATTTCTTCGCTACACATTTTTTTCAATACATTCTCTGTATTTGATTCGTTTTTTGCTTCTGCTTTATCTTTTGTATTTTCCCTTGTTAATTTCAAATATTTTTCTTTATTATCATGTTGAGTATTGGCCTAATAGACAAATGATTACTGTTAATAGAGCAATAAAGTAAAATAGGTTTATAAGATTTACTACACATGGTACTCCACTTAACATGATCATTCCTTTTTATCTTTGCAGAATAAGGTCGTATAAAAAATATGATCAGACAAAAGTTGTGCAGCCTGACGGGTACACACACACAAATAAAAAAATTATTTTTTTGAAAAATTTATTTTTCATGATCATATGAAAGTCATAGTCATTTTTAAAAATGGAATTGTATTGATTTTTAAAAAAATAATATTTTCTCTAATTATTTTGCTTTTAAAGTATCAAGAAATGTCAAAAAATCAATAGTTTACGAGATATTTTATACTTTAATTTGGCATATTTTGACATGAAATAAAAAATATCTTGTAAACTATTTATTTTCTTATATCATATCTTAATACTTTTATGTACAGAATAATGAGACAAATCAGTTTTCAAAAAACTTGTGCTACTTGTGCTACTTGAGATATGCAACTACAAGCAACTGTATATTTTTTTACACTAATTGATTCATCTCAGTCTTCTGTGCATAAAGGTATTAAGGTATGATTATCAAAAAATGATTAATTACAAGATATTTTATATTTCATGTTAAAATATGCTAGTATAAATATAAAACTATTGATTTCTCGACGTCTTTTACCTTAATACTTTAATATGCAGAATAATTAGAAGAATCATATTACATAAAAAGTAACAATTCCATTAAAAAAAACTTTTGACTATAAAAAATAAATTTTTTTCGAAAATTTGTTTTATCATTATTTATGCCCCATCAGATTATATGATACAACTTTTGTCTGAACATATTTTTGATTTAATCTGAAAAGATAAAAGAAGTAATCAAGAGAAAAGATAAACATTCTGTTGACCAAGACCAATAACTGCCTATGTTGCAAAACATTTATAACAAACATTTATAAACAAGAACAATATTCCTCGGATAATCACAGATAAGATTAGAGAAAGATATGTGTTATATGTCCAACCTGATTTTTAACTAAATTCTTAGTCCTGTCTTTGCCATTATCTGATACTGTTCTATCACCTTTCTTTTTTTCTTTCACAGACTTTTTACATTTCGGTACTGTATTATGCATTGTGTTCTTCGCTTCCAATTTAGAACTCCAAGAAGCCTGAGAGCTGCTTGCAGGCTGCATAGGATTCGTCATATCATCTTGCACAGCAATTGAGAAATTCATGGCTTGTTTCTCGGTTCTATCTGCTATGATCCTATTATATTTTACGTTCCTCCTTTTCGATTGAAGACTCTTGGAGATCCTGAGATTAGCTGCGAGCTGCGCGCTGAGCTCCGTTAATTCATCATAACGAGCAACAAATGTTTCGTTTGTCAAGAAAATCGCTTTGTGCACGCCACATTTCTGATCATTTCTGTACGTGTTACCATGACGCTTGCAGCAAAATCCACCTCTGGCTTTCTTCATGGACTTTTTAACCCCCGAGCACTCGGGCACAACTGCGATTGAACGAGTCATCGACGCTATATGAATCACAGCCGTATCTAACGCGGAACACAATTAGGAAAAAAGATACAGATTACAAAAGAGCAGATCACAGATAAAGCTTATACTTTCTACGTATGTGTCAAGAGTTAAAAATGATCTCCCATGAACTGGAAATCCCCGACTGGAAAGCTCTGTCGAAAATTTCGTGAACGTTTGCTGTAGCCTCAGGTCACATTGAAAGAAAAAAAGCTAAATACACAGTTCGTTAAATCGACACGGATGAAAGGTGACAATTTTGGTCATTTTGGTTAGGTTGAAAACAAGCCGAACTGGGGAGTCGTCGCACACGTGGTCACGTGGATCACGTGATCACTCGCGTCGTTCATTGGACGAACCGTGCGACGTCGGCCTTGCTATTGGCTGTCCGTTTGGCAGAAACTGGAGCTGAGCTTGGTCCGCTTGGGGACGTTTGGGATATGTTGATAAACCTCGATATTTTGAGGTTAGACGCGATTGAAGTTTCTTGCTCTCTAGAGTAGAGGAAACGATCTCCAGGTTGTGTAATTGAATTATATACATTGAGTTGTATATTGAATTGTTGTGTTTAGCAGTTGCGTTGCAATTGTATGGAAGGATTCGAGAATGGCTGAGATAGATATTTTTGACAATGAAGAACAATTGCCGCAAGACCTGGGCGACGATGTCGTCCAGGAAGTCCTCAAGACTGGCACCGATCTGCGCGAGTATTCCAGGCAGATCGAGAAGGAGCTCAAGGAAGTTGAGAACAAGTCGATCCAAGATTATATTAAGGAGAGCGAGAATATAGCCAGCCTGCACAATCAGATTGCTGCTTGTGATAATATCTTAGAGGTTAGGTTAGGTTAGAATTCGCTGTTGCATCGGATCTCGCTGACGTGTGACGTGTGATTTGATGCAAAATCATATCTTGTTGTCGACAAGATATTATTAAAGATCGACTATTAAAGAGCGCTTTCTGGAAATTCATTAGATAATTTATATTTTCTAAATTTTAATTTTTGAAAGATACATATACATATTTGTGAATCAATAATATTTAAATTTTATTTTAAATCATAATTATTTATTATTAACATTTAGAAGAGGAAGATTGATTTATCTATGCAAGTGATAATTTAAATTTATGGTAATATATATAATTGCATAAAAAATATATATACATTTTTATTTATGAAGCGTATAATATAATAGTAAATTATAAATTTAACACTGGTCAGATATTTATGTCAAAAACTTATATTGGTCAATAACATTGATATATTCTTCAATTCCAGCAAATTCTTTGAAATAAATAGTCTTTAATTGTATCTCATCGATGTATGTATTAAATGCGTTTGTACAGTTTACTCCAATAACTTTGTAAAGTAATATTACTAATCAAGCAAAGTTTTCTCAGAGAGACATTTAGATGCAGATTTTCATATTATTTTTTTACAGAAAATGGAGTCAATGTTGATGAACTTCCAGTCAGTTCTAGGAAATATAAGTTCCGAGATAATTTCCTTGCAACGCAAGTCTGTTGCTATGAGCCAACAGTTGTCCAATAGACAAATAATACGAGGTCCACTTAGTCAATTTATTGAAGACATGACAGTGTCTGAGGCTCTGATTTCGTAAGAAATTATCCATTTTATAAGAGAATATTACAGAGATAAACTCTTATTAAATGTATATCAGTTTTCATATTTAATTGAATTTTTGTATATTTTATTATATTAATTTTCTTATAGTGGTATTATGAATTGTCCAGTGACTGAAAAGGAATTTTTGATTCAGCTGCAAACTCTCAATCACAAAATCAATTTTGTGAAGGAACAAAGTTTTAAGGAAGCCAAGTCTTGTTTAGACGTGAAGGATATATTAGAGAAGCTGAAAGTAAAGGCAATGGCAAAGATTAGGACATATTTACTAGAACAAATTTATAAATTTAGGAAGCCAATGACGAATTATCAAGTGCCGCAGAACAACATGCTAAAATACAAATTTTTCTTCGAATTTATTTTGGCAAACGAGAGAAATGTCGCTGAGGAAATTTGTGGAGAGTACATTGACACTATGAGCAAAATATGTTACTCGTATTTCAAGTCTTATTCATCAAGATTGATGAAATTACAGGTAGAAATGGAGGAAAAAATGGTTTTATATAAATAAGTTAAAACGTCAAATTACAATACAATTATTTGTCTCAGTTTGAAGAGAGAGCGACAAAGGATGATTTAATGGGAGTCGAAGACACAGCAGGTAGAGGTCTTTTTCATAAAACAACATTAAAGCACAAAGGTACTGTCTTTTCCATAGATACAAGGGGTCAGGTTTTGACTTCTCAATTGGAAGCACCTATAATTGTCCCACACACTGCTTCTAAAACACGAGTAAGTACTAATGATATATACATGTCTAGTAAAAACCTAGTAAAAATAATAACGTTTAAGGATAGATTCCTGAGATCATTTTGAAAATTCTGCTACCAAAATATCAAGGCTATAATAGTTTTTTAATTAAAAGCATTTAAAGTTAGCGAATCATATCCCCTCAAGTTTGCGCATTTAAGTGTGGTTGGAATTTTGTATTATACCACATTTGAACGCGCGAACTTTAAGAGAGATAATTTGCTTCTATAATTCAAATATGGTCTTGACACATTTTGGTATTAGAATTTTCGTCTCAAAATGAACTCAGGCAACCCTTAAATGTTATTGCGATCTTTACTGGACACTATATGATATACCAATAATATGACTATTATAACTTACGTACTCTTCAATGTTTTTTAAATTAGTATTATAATCTTACAGTATCATTATGAAGCTCTGTTCAGAAGTGAACAATATGCTTTGGTTGATAATGCTTGCAGAGAATATTTATTCCTGATAGAATTTTTCAAGGTCCGTAATGCACAGGCGTTAGATATTTTCAATCAGGTAAGAGACTAGCCATATTTAATTGATTTGATAGATGTAAGTAAATAAAATAGATGTACTAAGTACAAAGAGTAAAGGCCGCAGCGCGCACAGACTTTTACATAACACATAACACATAGTGCATAAGCGAATCAATCAATCAGAAACTTTCCTTTCCTCCCATTTTACGAAAAAGAAAAATTTTGATTGGTTAATTCTCTTATGCACTATGCATTATGTGTTATGCAAAAATCTATGCTTCGGCCATAAATGTACTAAAACTAAATAATTCCTTCTTCTTAACAGGTTATGGGAAAAACGTTAAGTCTTGTGATAAAGAACTTGCAATCATTTGTTGAGGATTGTTATGATACAATTGCTCTATTTCTCTGCCTACATTTAATGATGCGTTATCAATTAATATGTCATAAAAGGGCTGTACCAGCATTGGATAAATACTGGGAGACTTTAACAAACACAATTTGGCCTAGGTACTTGAACATGTTTAAAAGTAATTGCAATAATAATTATCTTATTATTTTGTATTATTACAATTTGCAAAATTATATCTGTTTTTTTAGATTTGAATTTGTGTTTCAATTAAATATAAATAGTGTAAAAGATTGCGACCCATCAAAGTTCAATAAAGAGACTGGTCCACATTATGTAAGTGTTCAAATACAATGGATCGTTTATAATGGCATTTTTAATTACTATATAATATTGAAACGTGTATGTTCATCTTTTACATAATTACAAATTTTTAGATTACCAGAAGATACGCGGAGTTTAGCGCCGCAATTGTAAGTGTAGTCGAAGGTTTTCCCTGTGAGGGGACAACTCAATTATTGGCAGAATTGAGAGAAGCTGTACAATGTTTCCTGTTAAGAATGGCATCTATTTTCCCAAGCCGGACGCAGCAATTAGTATTTCTTATCAATAATTATGATTTGGTCCTCAGAGTATTAATGGTAAGTAGGTTTTATTTAAAAGATAGGAAAGTGTATCAAAGTTAACGTATTAAGAAAGAATTAACGGATTATATTTGACTGCAGGAAAGGACACGAGAAACCTCAAAGGAAGCGGAGAGCTTTCGGGAACTATTAAACGCGCGTTCTTCCGAATTTATCGAAGAAGTTTTGAGTCCGCACTTCGGTAGTATAATCCAGTTGGTGAAGGAAGCAGAGGCTCTGAGCGAAAAGGGTCAAATCGACGATTTGAAACGGCAGGAGGGAAAAGTGTTGGCTCTAGTGCAATCTTTTACGAACAATTGGAAGCGAGCTTTAGAAGAAATAAATCGAGAAGTGTTGCAATCGTTTCCCAGCCTGGTGCTTGGCAGCACACTAGTGCAAGGCGCAATGACGCAATTAATACAATATTATAATCGTCTTCATAAGATCTTGCCAACAAATGCGCGCACGCAACTTACGAACATCCACCATATAATGGTAGAAATTAAGAAGTATAAGACGAATTATTAAGCAACTTTCTGAAGAAATTGATTACCCAAATTCCCGAATAACGGTCAATCATTGGTTATTTTCTATAGAAGAATCACTTCTATTGTATATAGCAATCAATTGTTGCAGCGATTTCAAATTCTAGTGATTACAATTATATTAAAGAAATATGTAAATTTTGTTTTATTACTAAGTATTGTTTAGGAAAATTGGGGAACGCATTCTTGTAAATATAATCGCAAAAATACATTCTGTACATTTATTTATAAAAAGATATGAGCTATATGAGAACTAAACATGGTATTGCGTTACCATTCTATACAATAGTGATTAATATTCCATACTCTTGTGCTCATGGGCCTCATGGCACGAGTACATGAATCTCTGGTTTTTTTTTTGCTTATCTTATATAAATTAATATGTATACACATACGTTAAAATGGTCTCGTTACTTTTTCCTCTGATTTCGCGACACCTATGGCATAACATTTCAATTTGTCGGTGATTGAATCTAATCGCGCGGTGCAATGATTTGTTTATAGAATTTGTAATTACTTTGATATACAATTCGACTTAATCGCCACGCATTTCGCCGCATTTACGCAAGTAATTTACATTCACTTGATATATCGAGCTCTTGAGTATTTAAGAAATTATAAATACGATTCGTTTAATGTTATAAATTATCAAACGATTATCACCTGCATGATTGCAACTTGTGCATCTTAAATCGTCAATTTGCATTCATTACGAACTATCGTTTTATAGAACACCGTCAATAGCATGTAACACACCGTTTGTTGCTGGTACATTATGTGTTACGACATGTGCTTCGTTTATTCGTACTCGTCCTGAAACAACAATGTACGTTAATCATCTGAGAGATTATTTATTATTCGATTTTTATTTTTTTATAATAACACTTTTAAAATACGAATCTTTACTATTACATCATTTGATTTACTTACCGCCGTTTTTGTGGATATGAATTGGCGACTGTGGGCGAAGGGTATCTTTTTGAATGTAATATCTCATTCCGGCCGTATAAAGAGTCGTGGGAATGACGTGCCGCGAAATTATCGCCTTCGCCGCTTCCGGCCCATCCTCATCGGTCCAAATTGGGACACCGTTCTTTGTGGACGCATCGGTGAAAGCAGAATCGGTCGGTGCGAAGATGGTAAATGTCTTCGGCCCTAGAAAAGCAACTTTCATTAAAATACTATAAAAATATTCGGAACAATCCATCGGATTTGCATATCGAGAATATAGGAAAGGCGCATATGACACAAATTGAGTTCTTTAAAATTAATTTTCACTTGGATTTTCAATTTACCTGTAAGCGTGTCCTCCAAGCCCGACACGTGTAGCATTCTGAGGAACGTAGTGAACCTCCTCTCACGATCGGCTTGCAGGGTTTGCACCAAATCACCGACCGGCAGCGGGAACATGACCCTGTCGACGGCGTGGGCGATACCTTGAGGAATCTCGATGTCTCGTTTGTTGGGCGCGACACGCGCCCCGTTTACCGTCGTTACCTATTTACAAACAATCCGAAATTACAAATGAAGAGAAACGCGTGATATAGAATCTTCTTCATCAGATCTGGTATATATTAAGTAAACTCCTAGAGAATATTATGACGCGAGGGGGTAACCACTAGCTGAAATATTGTCCCACAGGTTACATATATGATTTTATTTGATTTCATACGATTTCATCTGATGACAAATAATTTTCTTCACTATATATGAAGTCATTTGGTAAAATAATTGATTTTATCTAATATCACACAATTATTTCTCGTAGTTACATATGTAATTATCGGATTATACATCGGGATTTCATATGAATTTTATAATGATTTCGGAGACTCTGTCCCATGATTACATTAAGTGATTATCCCCTCGTGATGTTTAGAAATAGTCTAAGAAAAATTTATAATTTTAAAAATCTAAATCTAAAAAAGAAACATCTGAATGATATTTTTTACATGAGAAATACCGAACGATCATTACTGACCATTTCTATTTTTTACATTAATATTATATTTCTTAACTTACATTATATTTCTTGTGTAAAAAATAGGATTCTGAAATTTTTTGCAATAATGTCTTTTTAATAAGTAAAAGCTTATATGTGTAGTTTATATAGCTTATATATGCAAAGTAAGATAAAGAGGCTAACAACGAGATAGCTTTAATGTGTTCTATAGATCAATAATTTATTAATATAACAATTCTAATGATACATGGCCAAATAACTAATTATTTAATTATTCATTAGTCATTAGAATTTATCTCTTTATCTGTCTTTTATATTAATGAAATATTTGTTTTATCACTTTATTTTTACTAATAGTTCAATTGGTTGGTTCTTTTAATGAGTAAAAAGCATTGATTCTTCAATGTTAAGATGTTTTTTGATAATGTTTTAAAGACATCTTAAAAAAGACATTTAAGATGTCTTTTAAAGACATCTGGAATTTTTGAGCGGATGACGGAATCGTCGCTTGAGGCATGTCCATCGAGTGAATGGAAGATTTCTAGTATATTCGCGAAGGTCAATAAACTGTATCACGCGCGAATGCACATAAACCATATACACTGATCACATTATGAAAATAATATCGCATTGACTCACGAGCTATTAATAATTTACACTTTACGAGCAAACAATTTTCTATTAAACGAAGGAAAAGTCTAATCAATATTAAAAAAATATTTTTTAAATATTTTTTTTTAATGTAAAAAAATGTTATTAAATTTTAATGAAAGTAAAAACGAAATAAATTTTAATTAAAATAAATGGACGAGATTTTAACAAAATTTGAAGAGAGATTCTAAAATATAATTACTTTTAAATCGTTCCATTCGTGATCCTGCATCGCGTACTCGTTCACCCGCAATTGCGTTCCTGCGAGACTGACGCCAGTCATCTCATCCTGCAGAGAATCTATTCTGAAGGCTCCCGGTATGACGTGATGAAGAAGGAGCTGTTGTAAAGGATTCTCATTAGTATATATTTCTTATTTCACTGACATCAACGCTCTTTACTGGAGAACACTTGTAGTTTTATTTTTCCAAGCTCGCGGTTAATTTCAAGATTATAGTTTAATTGAGTCTTCATATCTCTCTTCTATAGAGAAAAGCGGTAAGTTTAATTACGGTTAGCTAACTGGTGTCAGTGAAATGTATCGTAGGCAGATAATTTATTAATAATGCTTTTAGCACCGATGCGTACCCCACTTAGAAGTCTCGGATTGTCGTGGAATTTCTGCTCAGCTTTCTCTGGTCCTCCCAGCTGCACCAGTAATGTCCTGAAGGCTTTGTCCGTAGGAATGAATATGGTATATGGACCTGAAAATTTAATGTCACAAAACAATACAAGGAAGTATCTCAGAACTACCGAATATCATAATTGTTGTCGAAATCTTCGCTCTAATATGGAATGATCTTTCCTTAAATAAAAATTCGAAACATAATTCTAAATAATTAATAATCCAAAACGAGACTCTCGTTTTTAAAATTTCCGATCTTTATTTTCATAGGGAAAATTTTTGATAAATTAAATTTCAAACAAGAAAGTAGGTAAAGATGTCATATTTCGAGCTTGTAACTTAAACTGGATTTTATTTTAAATTTTAACAGAGACTTTTGATTCGTAGCTCAATTGTTAAAATATAACGTTAGGGCTTAGAAAGAAGCCTTTCACGTTGCCTCGTTGTATTAGTTGCGTTCAGCAGAAAAAGCAACTTTGCAAATGTTGCAAGATTTTTTAATGCGATTCGTTTATACATTTAGATCTCCAGTAAGGAATTAAGACCATAACCATATTAGATATTTTTTAGATATTTTTACACAACAGTTGTAAAGCTATTGTGTACAAGAACGGTTTTACTAAAGTATCTAAAAATTTAGTTAGATCCGAAAATAATTTTGTTGAACTATTAAAATATAATTATGTAGGATGCTCAAGCTTAGAATATTAACATTTTTTACAGCATTGTTCATTATGTTTGGGTTTCCTACATAATTATTTCAATAATTCAGCAAAATTATTTTCAGATTTATAAGCTAAATTTTTAAATATTTCGGTAAAATTTTTTTATTCCGTGTATTTATTAAGAATTTTCCCAGACAATAAAAAGTGTCTAAAATCGGATCATAAGATGTTTTTTGCGTCTAAAAGATGACTTAAAGACGTCTTAGGTCACAATTTTAAGCTTCGTTTGGGTTAGAACAGTTACAAAGCTGTTTTTTTTTCTGCTAAACGCAGTTATTATTTTTATGATACGTTAATCGAACGTCAAGAGATAACAATCGTTGCTGTGTATATACATTATATATTTCACAGCTTTTGCGATCAGTATCCATATAATTACGCTTCATATTCGCCAGACATTCTCTTCCATTACGGGCGTAGCCAGACATAGCACACGCTCATGAGTTCATCTATAATCTTCGTCGAAGGAAAAACATACATATCGTTGGAGAACGTGATGAAGTTACACAATGTTCCGATTGATAATTGAGTACGATCAGTAGAAAACGGAATTGCTACTGGGGCGGGCGGGGGATCGCCGTTATAGGAAATATCACACGCGAGAAAACACGCAGCGATTTATTTTCTTTCTAACAAACTAGCGTGCGAACGCGGTCAAATAAAATCATCAGTACGTCAAATAAAAACGTCAATATCTTCTTTACGATGAGATTTTTTTTCTCTCTTCTTGGTATCAATGACGACAGATCGAATCAGGTACCGCGTTTATTGATTGTCCAGCAAAAATTGTTTATAATTGAAGGTACGCGTGAAAGGATCGACATACATCGTGTTAATCCGCTGCAAAGAGAATCCAGTTCAACTTGAACTGGATTCTTCAGATATGAAATGAAAAAATACACTATCGCGTAAGAAACAGCTATTACGTAATTTTCAAGTAATATTGCCGTAATTTTCTAATGCGTTTTACATATTTCAATGTTATTTACTTGTTTCAAGTATTTTAAAATTTCCGCAAATTATAAGTTTATCACAAACATCAAATATTATTTAAAATATTCTGTTCTGAAAATTCTAGTAAGTGTTTAATACTTCTCAATCAAGATTATTATATTAAAACAAATTTGATTTATTTATTATACAAAGTTGTTTCTTTAACGAAAATTTTATGATTTTATAAAATTTTATAATATTCTTTAAAGATTTTTTTAAATATGATATTCTCTTATTTTGAGTATATAATGATTTTTTCTAGATTTTTTTGTAAGAAATACGTTTAGGATTATCATAAAAAAAAAATTCTTTATTAAAGGTAAACATTATACTTAAAAGAAACAAGTAAATTGAATAATCACGGTTTTTTAAAGCAGTAGATTGATTTTTTTTGTATGTACGTTCAGCTTTGCACAAAGCAAGCTCAATTTTTCGATCTTTCAATGAAAGAAAGTACAGGTAAAAGAAATCAAAGGGCCAAAGAAACAATGGGTTAAAAGCAAATCGTATACGCCCATAATTACAACTAATGAAAATCTCGCGTGTCTTCTTCTGTGAGAGCTCGCATAATGAGGTACGCGTACTCGCCTTTGTTCTCCGTAGAAGACGGAGAGACGTCTCGTGTGTCGAAACGGGCAAGGAGTCGTGAGAACATTTTTCTGACGAACATTGCACGACTAAAGCGAAACGCGAGGTACAAATGGTGGTGGATTGTGCAAAGAGGCACGGGTCTACCTCGCCGCTAACAGGATCATTTGTACAACCGTTTGGACCTCAAGAACATTGACGCAAGTTGTCCCGCCTTGCGATGTTGTTGGATAAGACTGTAGCGGTTTTGCGTTGTTGCGCAGAAAGTTCGTAATTCGTTTATTGTAATATTTAACATTTTCACGCGTAATACTCTTCAAAGTTCGTCTGTTACATAATATGTCATTATATTTTACTAATTTATAATTTTTCTCGATATTAAGCAAACATAATTCTATTATCTTAATTCTATATTTTACTAAAACGCTATTTCTATTTTATAAACCATTCCTTTTTGTTTTTGTTTCAATCAATCACGTTAACATTAGAACGGACTATATTTTAAAAATCATTTATCAAGTCATCATTAACATTAGATGTAGTGACTACAAATTTTTTACTTTATAAAATCATGAAATCTGAAAAGTATTCACGTTAAGTTTCTGTTAAGAGTATACATAACAGTATATATAAATTTTTATTAATAGTATATATAAATTTTATTCTATTAATAATTTGATAACGCAAAAATTATAAGAAAGTTTAAAGTCTACGCCTCTTCTTTTATTTTTAGAATCATTATTAAACCACAATAGTTAATTTTATTAACTATCAAGTTTCGGCATCCAACTCACCAGTTTCATTCAACACGGAATCCAATCCCGACTGTCTCAGGTACTTTGCCATAGCATAGAGGCCCTCTCTTTTCAATAATGTAGCTAGATTTTCCTGCGAAGTTTGAGACTTAACGGCTTCCTCCGCCGAAGTCGACGAGGTCTCCGGGGACGAATGTTTGGAGAAATAGACGAAAGAATTTGGCGTGTGATGCGAGTAAGACGTCGGAGTCGTTGCCGTCGTTACGATTTCGTTCACCGGTGCCATCGTTGGGATGAATTGGCTCCTGGTGGACGACGAGTACTTGGTAGTCACCCTCGGAATATGATCCGACAGGGTCGTCTTCGTCGGGCCAGGATTCAAGGAGTTGTACACGTGGCCCGTGACGCTGGACGCCGAGGTCACGTATTTGTCAGTCGTAGACACCGAGTTCGGCGATACCGTGACGTAAGGAACATATTCCGTTGTCGATTTGCTGAAAATTTTATTTTGTTGTTCAAAATTTTTTACAGCATTAACCCTAAAACACACACATAGATCTTCCAAACTCGATCAAAATTTCGCTTGCTTCGTACAAAGAAAAAAAACGAGAGTTTTATTTTATAACTTAACAATATAAAACTTTTTAGCGTTACAATGTATGCAGATATTCCTAAATCTCAGTGTTTTAAAATAAAAAAAAGAGTCTAAAGATATTAATCTGAGCCAAAGTTAAAATGAGTCTTCCAGACTCATGGTTTATATTTTCAGAATTTTTCGGAAGATATGTGTTCTAGGATAAAACACGAATGGATGAAAAATGAAAAGAGATCAATTCGAGCTAAATGACAAACCGAAATCAAATTAATTTTATTTTAGTAATCAATGTGGTGCATAAAAATGAAATCACTCCAATAGTTTATTTTAATTGTTATAAATTAAAAAAATCATTTAGCTGATTATAAATTTATCTATGAATGCGAATCGTAGTAATAATTACTTTTACTGTATTAAATACAAATAGATGAAAAAAATGGAAAATATCAATTTAAATTAAATACAGGTTACAGTCGAATCAAAACCAAATTAATTATATGTATTTATAGAAATTATAAGTATGGTACACGAAATGAAATCAACTCAATAATTTATTTCGATTATTATAAAATCAAAAATCTATTTAGATGAAAAATAAACTGTATGAATGCGAATCACTGTACACTGAACCAAAACTGTACGTAAATACAATAAAATATTCATTGAATTATGAAAAAATAATGAAATTTGTCCAATGAATTCTCATCATGATTTTAATCATCATGGTTATAAAACTATTATTAGAATTCATTGCAAAAATGAATATATAATTATATAAATGAATCCAGTTATTGCATCAATGAATTAACTACATTAAGTCGGACATTAAATCGGACGTTAATTAATGATCATTCACTGGACCAAAAATGACAAATTTTTTTCAGTGTAGTAATCACCTTTCGCTGTATCTGGTCGAAGTAGATCTGACGGTAGTGGGTCTGAAGGTCGCCGCCGTCGTGCTGATGGAGTGAACAGATGATACCGGCGTCCTCGACGTACCAGTGGACACTATCAGATTTGGATCGAAGTTGGATTCGAGATGTTCTAGCGTGGAAGACTGCGTGGTCGGTCCAAGCGAGCTGGGTGGTAGCTTCAGTTCGCCTTTTTTGATCTTCTCGACGATAGATTCGACGTCACTGCCGCTCTCCTTGTCGTTGGCATTACCCTTGACACCTTGCACTTTGTAACTACCGTCCGGCTGCTCCTCCAGCAGGACGAACGTGACTTTTTTCGCCGGTAGATTCTGGATGATCGGTGTCTTGCCGACCTCCTCGAGCTTGCCATCGCTTTTCTGTCGGATGACTTCAAAATCGGCGCCCGGTGGCAGTACGCCATCCTTCGTCAACTCCTCGAAGAGCGCTTTTGGAGGCTTGATGGTGGTCGTCGAGGACGGCACAGCCGATGTTAGAATGGTGGAACTTCCACTAGGTGAAATGGAAGATAAGCCATTTGGCGCGTGGATCACCTGAATTTTCTTGCCGTTCGGCAATATCAGATCCCTGGTAGTGACATTCCTAGCAACGTCATCGTCATCGCCAGACTGGGCTAGAGCGAGTTTGAGTTGCCTCAACAACAGTTCCCGCTCGGACGGTTGAGAGCTCCTGCTTCTGCCGCCGGAATTCTGTTTCGTCGTGCTAGGTTTTTCGGTCTGATAGATTATCTTGATCTGCGGCTTCGATTTGCCTTGCTGCAACAGTTGACTCTCTTGCTCTTGGACCAGGCTGAGCAGGTTTTCCGGTATATCCGTCTCTCGATGAGTATTAGAAGTAATCAAACGTCTGGCCGGCGGAGGTGACTGTGTAGTAGTGGTGGTAGTAGCTGTTGCAGTTGTACTCGCTGCTGTCGTTGTGTATTTCTTCTGATGGTTAGCAATTGCTTTAAGAAAAAGCTCCGCTTCCGACGGTGTGATACGTCGCGCCGTTGGCGAGGACAGCAACAAAGGCACGGAAGTGGTGCTGATGGTAATCGGGGTTGATGTCGTGGTCGGTGGAGGTGGAGGTGGCGTAGTGGAGGTGAGCCTCTGAAGTTGCTGAAGCCGCTGCTGCTGCCGCTGCTTCTGGAGCAACTCCAGCTCACGCTGCTTTTCGAGATAGTCCTGTAACTGTACCGTCTGTTGATCGCTGAACAGTGGCTGTGACAAGTCTTGCTGAAGATTTTGGAAGCCGTTCTGGTTGTACTGATTGTATTGCTGTTGCTGCTGATATTGTTGCCGTTGGAATTGCGGCGATTGTATACCGCTCTCACCACCATTCACGAAGTTCGAGGTACCGAGTTGTTGGGCGATCTTTTGTTGTTGTTGTTGCAGAAGCTGCTGCACTTGTTGTTGCTGCTGCTGTAACTGTTGCAATTGTTGCTTCGCTCGATCAACCTTGTATTTGGCCAGGGAGGAGAACGGCGTGCTGGATTGTGCTTGTTCGAACGTGGGAAAATTTGCCCGCGGATTCTTGAAGTCCTGAGCGGGACGTTGCCGGTATCGTTGCTGGTGTTGCTGCACATCACTCAGGATCTGGGCTTGTTGGGAAGCCGAGAGACGAGGTCGCGGATCGTTCACGATGCGGCCCTTGAAGCAAACATTTAACGAATATATATTGCTTGTTCTTTTCAGAAAGAAATAAAACATAAAAATTTTTTGGGGATATAAACGATCTATTTAAAGTTAATAATTATCTCTATTTTATTCATATTCCTTTTCTGTTAAAATGATTCAATTTTGTAAAGTTTGGGGTATTAAAATGCTGCGGTCATTGCTCTCTATTTCCTTTGCGCGATGGTGCAATATCTTATGCAATATATTTTTGCACATTCTAGACATAAGCACGTTAATACAAGATTATATAATACTACTATGACATTTCTGGTGACATTTATCATTAATTTCAAAAAGAGTTCATGACAACACGTTCCTAAAGTTGAATTATGACAATTATTGTTTTCTCCTAATAATTTTTTGATGCTATAGCAATACTATAACATTTCTAATAGCATTTGTTATCAATTTCAAAAAGAGTTAATGACAACACGTTCCTAAAGTTCAATTATAACAGTTAGCGTTTCCTTCTAATTTTTTAATATTGTAACAAAAAGTTTACACGAGTAAAGTAACCTTTAGACTCTTTAGAGTAAACTTAAAAATATATAGTACTATCACAGACGTGGAAGTAAAAATTTGACAATAAATGCAATAAATCTTTCGTATATTGCAGAGAAAGTATACTAATACGAAGGGTATGAAATCGTTAGTTTCGTTCGACAGTTTTCATAAATTATCCTAGTTAATTACTTTGCGAATTACGTTTTGCATTTCCACTCTATTAAGATTCTCCGTTGGTTAACGTGCTGTATGACAGCAAGATAAAAGATGATAAAAGCGAAAGCAAATCGAATTCATGCAATTGACGGCAGTTCGGTGTATGTCACAAGATTTATAAATTATCATAAATTTATACTTCTACTTGGAAACCAAGTGGAAAATTGATGAGAAGATTTATTCTCGCGATTTAGTAAAAGTTGCTGGACACGTTATTGAGTTTATTCACTTTTACAAATATTCAATTTAAATCAATATGTCAATACGTACTTTATAATATATGATATTTGTTATTTTTTGGATAAATGATTTTTTAAATAGTATTCCTTTAGTTTTTATTTCACTTTTTATGTTCAGCACAGCAAAGAATGCATTAAAATATTATTTAAAAAATTTTTATAGAACGATCATTTTTGTGATTAATTATAATTATATACATATAATTTATATAAGGTACGATGAGTTTAGTTTTAGGCCGACATTTTTTACGAGAAGAGCCTAGACCTGTTATTACGCTATTTATATAATTCCACAAAATTGACAATGTTAATAAAGAATGTAATTAATTCTCAAATTTTAAATAACAATTAATGATTTGTAGAGAGAAGGAGTTCGTAATTAATGAAAAATGTATGCCTAATATGCAGGGTGTTTCAAATTTACTTTGAACAACAATTAACACGTTTTCAAAGATGAATTTTGAATTAATAATTTTTTACGATTACAGCTTTTGCTGTAACAAACTAAAAATATCCAGGTTTTACTTTTCTCTAATTATACTGCGTATCGCTAATTCCTGCTTATTGATTCCATTATTATCGCTTTTATTATTGCGGTATAATACTGTGTACGGCGCGCTCTCAAATTCATTGTTGCTTTTATTGTGCGCGCGAGAAAGATGCGAATAATTAACGTGGCCGTAATTAAGAGGGGCATTGTTCGATCTTCCTTTCTCCTGGGTGCCTTCTGCCATCGTCAGACCCGCTGTGAGACAGGTCTTCTCGCGTCCTCTCGTAGAAAGTACGACCTACTGCAGTTTCCATTTCGCACACATAACGACTTACATATCATGTTCGAGTGGAGATCGACGTGTGTACTGGTTCTTTATATAACAACACAGCCCTGCGGCTAATATCCGCGTTTTGCATGATTACGCGTCTTCTCGCATGCGGTTCACAGCTGTCGCATTTTTACAAGACGTTTCACAATATTATTATTCAGTGGGGAAACCGTTGAAATTTTTTTTTTTCTATAACTTTACGAGATAGTATTTAAATGTTATGCTTCCTGCATTTTATGGTGAAACCGTCGCCCAATGTTGCAAACAGAATACGCTGTTTCTCAGAAATTTTTATTATTATTCGTAGACGAGATTTAGAATAGACACTGACGGTTAAAACAGCAGTTTAAATAGTGAAAAGTGAGATGATGCAAACGACTCGTTCGCCAGGAATTTCAATGTATGTCAACAATGTTCCGCTTCGTGTTTCAAGTCAATTACACGTATTCGATTTCATTGACATTGACATTAACGCCAAGGAATCTGTTTAATAAGCGTTCACTGCAATTAGCCGTAATTCTTCACGTCAATATTAAATAACGAATTTACATTATGATCGTTTTTCTTAAATAAATAAATAATCTATCTATAATTTCTATGTAATTTTTTTTCAAAATTTTTTCTATTATCAGAAGCGACGATAAGATCTGTATGTAAAAGCTTAATGAATATGCGAATGCATAATATTTTGACAAAAAATTAAAATCAGTATAATATTTTACTTTTCATATTAATTCATACCAAAATTTTTCTATTGATGTGGTTTTTAATAAATCATGTCTGGTATGCTAAATAGTTTTTGTTGGATTGACAAGTGCAAGGTGATTGATACTAGTTTTTCAATATCACAGTCGTATTAGTTTAACGTCACGTAGCGTAACGAAATAATTTCATAGACGCACGCAAGGAACATTCTCTAAAATTATTCGCAACTATATTTCATGAGTTACGTCTTTCTCACACATCTATTATAGCTAGTCTCAAATTTTCAGCTGATGGTCGCAAATCGATCGATTAAGAACAATTAGGAATTGCATACTTCTCTCTCACAGCAGACACTGTGACACTTTGTTAAGTGTCACGAGCTACGATGTAACGATAACGCGTCTGTTTCAAACTTTCTATTTTAGCACGTGCGAATAGAAATAATAAATCCCATATGTTTTGTAAGCGGTTATACTTAAAAAGTAGCAACCTTCGAGTGCTGATCGCTCGTTCGCTAAGCGATCGGATTAAGTTGCGTGTCGATGAGTTACACAGATTCCTACGCATAATTACACTTTCTGCAACAATGTTGCAAGCTTGAAATGCGGCAATATCCTGAAGCAAGCGTTAATAAGATCAAACCGGATGTATAAGTGTCATAAGAGGTGCATAAATGATAAAAATAATATTAAGATGAAAACGTAACATAAAATGTTATAGAAATGAAAATAAAAAGATATAGTTTGCCAGGCAGCGATAAACGTTACAAGTGTTTAAGATTTATAAAGATTTATAAATATTATATAGATTTATTTTAAGATTTATAAAGATTTATAAATTTTATATAGATTTATAATAAAATAGAATTAAAAAAATTCTAATCAATTTAATTTGAATTTATTTTATTTTTTATTTTACGAATTTTCAATTCTCTTCATAATTTTTAATTAAATTCTAATGGTTCTTCATATTTTAACGAACGAGAACTGTAAATGTGTTTCGTGGAAAATGCGCACGTTCCAAACTGCGGTGCAAAGAATTTTTTAAAGCCTTTTCCGGAATTAGAGCTCCGTCATAGCCGCGAAAATGAGTTATCTGGCAATTTGCACGATTGCCTCGAGAAATGGTCTGCTTCTGTCAGAGGATAATTGAGGCCTAGAAAGCGACGGAGTTCAGAGAAACTTTGGAGTACTGTAGCTTTTTGAATGACGGGGCTGTCCTGTTCGACGATTCATAACATGTATTTAAATTTTGTGGAAATTCAGCTCGGATCAAACCAAAATTGGAAATCATGTCAAGTTTGCAATTCGATGAGTAAAGCTTTGATATAAAAGAAAGGTGTAAATGCTAAAGATAAAAAGTATTTAGGATATTCGTAAAAAAATTCTTTTGCAGAGACAAACTTGAAGATTAAAAATAAATGTACATAATATGTACATTTAATGTCTGTTACATAAAAATAAAAATTTTAAGGATATTTTTAAGGATAATTATAGGACATAATGTTTTTCTTTCATGTCTTTAAATTTAATGTGAAAAAAGTAATGTTTCTTTAAACTCCTACATGCTAAACTCCTACATTTCAAAGATACTCGAGCATCTTGAAAACAGGTCGTTGCTAAGAGTCTTTCTCGAAGGGGACGAATGCAATCGCCGTAATGCCTCGCAGCCCACAGTTAATCACTCTGTTACACACACTGACTATTAGCAAATATATAAAAAATTTGAAGTGGAGCGAAGTCAGGCACGTGAATAAATGCCTTTCAATATGCTCTACCTACACGTGGATAAATAAATGTTAGAGAACCGCGAGAACGAGTTTTGATAGATATAAAATAATCGTTATCAAAAACGCTTATCAAAAAATATTATCGCTGGAATTATAACAATTTCCGCGTCCGATTAGAAATAGAGCTCTGACCAGTGCGGCTCGTGAAATACAATCCTCTCACTTTCATGCCGTAAGTCGACCGCAATTCGTGGTCGGTCAATACTATCCGATTCTCAAAAATTATTCGGTGAACAGAAAGGATAATTAATAAATTTGTACCAGTATAAATTTTGGAATAAATACAAAATTTTCAAAATTTAGCCGCTAAATTTTTTTAAAAGCTTTTTCCAGCTTCTCAATTTTCAATGTTTAATTAGATTACATCAAAGAAGTAATTACTCAATTAGATAAAACGTTGTAGTTATTCAATTAAATAAAAATTTGCTACAGCTGTGCTCATTTGCAATTACTAAAATTTCTCTTTCGTTGCAATGAAACAAAAAGAAACTCTTAATATAAAATATAAAATAATTCCTAGCCTTGTGTGCCATTAAATCTGTTCACTTTTCTATAATGTGTAATCCACTGCAAAAGAAATTGACTACAGCGGGGGAAGTAGAATAAGTCATTAAAAACATATAACGCCACAGAATCCTCTTACTTGCTATGCTGAAGCGATTATCGTTTCTCCTAACGGTCCAAAGATCAAAGAATAGA